CTCCTCCCCCTCCTCCTCCTCGTCCTCCTGCTCCTTCTCCTCATCCTCCTCCTCCACAATTACTCAATATGAATACTACTCTCCATCTTCCCCTGATGACGTGCTGGGAGTGTTCGCCTCCCCCGCGTCCTGTTTTTTTAAACACAGGTGTCCCAGGAGTTGGGTTTTCGCTTGCATGTGTTTTTTAATGCTGCTCTCGCTGAGGCGCCGGCCTCATTTTCGGGCCCCGCTCGTTCCGAATCGTGCTCCCGCTGCAGCGCTGGCCTCATTTCCGCGCTTCCGCTCGTTCCGAATCGTGCTCCCGCTGCAGCGCTGGCCTCATTTCCGCGCTTCCGCTTGTTTCGACTCGTGCTCCCGCTGCAGCGCTGGCGTCATTTCCCGTGCCATGCCACGGCGTGCAATGCAATGCTATGTTGATACTACTCTTTGCGGTGCTCTTCTACGCCATGACATGCCGTGCTCTACAATGCATCGCGTACCCTTTCGGGATCATTGCCCTGCTCGACATCCGACTGTGCGAGTAGAGAGGGGATCTGCGCCATGGTAAGGGATGGGAGGGAGGGGTAGGATGTCAGATATGACGCGAGCGCACCTAGCTTGTCCTCCTCCACTACTCCTCCCTCCGCCTGCTCCTCCTCCGCCTCCTCTCGTGTTCCTCTCCTCCTCCTTCATCTCCTTCTCCTCCTCTCTGTCGCCCTCGTCTCTCCTTGCCTCCCCCTCCTACTCTCCTCTCCCTCCTCCTCCTCCTCCTCATCCTCATCCTCCTCCTCCTACTCCTCTCCTCTCCCTATTCCCAACCCACTTTCTCCTCCCCATCTCATCCTCATCTCTCCTCCTCCTTCTTCCTCCCTCTCCTCCTCCCCCATCCTCCTTCTCCTTCCTCCTCCTCACTCTCCTATCCTCCCCCTCCTTCCGCCCTCCTCCTCCTCCTCCTCTCTCCCCTCCTCCTCCTCCTCCTCTTGTTCCTCTTCCTCCTCCTCCTCCTCCTCCTCCTCCTCCGCCTCCTCCTCCTCTTCCTCCTCCTCCTCCTTCCCCAGGCTTCGGATGACTCTGTGTCCGTGCCACGGGTCCCATGGCCTCTCGAACGCATGGCCGCGCGACGCAGGCTGCCCTGCAGCGCCCGGGGGGGGCTCGGCTCCTCGCTGGCGAGGTCGGTCTTGTTCAGAACGACCACGTCTGCGGACTCCACCTGTGAGGGGCAAAGATAGGGGGGACTGGCAACCCTAGAAGAGAAACAATCTACACAACCGATAAACTGCTAGCGCTCCGCGCAGATTTCATGGATCCGCGCTGGACCCCCCTCCCTGGCGCGCGGAGCGCGCCAGGGGCGGCGATGGAGGCGCCGCCAGAGAAGGGCCCAGCGCGGATCCAAGACATCCGCGCTGAGCGTCAACAGTTTGTTTATGGCCCTCCCGTTCCTGGGCGGGGTGGGGCTATCGGGCCCCATCGGCGATGAATGGGAGATTTGGGGTTGATGCGTCCCCTCCTGTGCCTCTCCCCGCAGATCTCTGCCCCTGAACATGGTCGAGAGAAGAATGGCAGTCGCAGGGAGGGACGAGGACAAGATGAGGGGGACGGATTGGAGGACGAGGACGAGGACGAGGAGGGGGACGGAACGAGGACGAGGAGGAGGAGGAGGGGGACGGGACGAGAACGGCAGTCGCAGGGAGGGACGAGGACGAGGAGGGCACAGGGATGAAGAGGATGGAAGGAGGGGGAGAATGGGGAGGATGGGGATGGGGAGGGGGAGGCGACGGAGGAACAGGCGGAGGAGGAGGAGGGAGGCGGACGAGGAGGCGGAGGAGGAGGAGGAGGAGGAGGCGGAGGAAGGAGAGGAGGAGGAGGGGGGGGAGGAGGGGGAGAGCGAGGAGGGGGAGGGGGAGAGGAGGAGGAGAAGGAGGAGGAGGAGGAGGAGGAGAAGGAGGAGGAGGAGGAGGAGGGATAGAAGGAGGAGGAGGAGGAGCAGGAGGAGGGGGAGGAGGCGGAGCAAGAGCAGGAGGAGGAGGAGGAGGAGAAGGACGAGGAGGAGGAGGGGGAGGAGTATGATGATGATGATGATGATGATGATGATGATGATGATGAGGAGGAGGAGGAGGAGGAGGAGGAGGAGGAGGAGGGGGAGGATGGGGAGGAGGAGGAGGAGGAGGAGGAGAAGAAGAAGAAGAAGAAGAAGAAGAAGAAGAAGAAGAAGAATAAGACTAAGCATAAGAAGAATCAGAATACGAAGAAGAAGGATAATAAGACGAATAAGACGAATGATAATAAGAATAATAAGAAGAATAATAAGCAGAAGAAGAAGAAAACTAATAATAATAAGAAGACGAATAATACTAATAATAATAATAAGGAGACGGCTAATGCGAATAATAATAATAAGAAGACGAAGAAGCCGAATATGAAGAAGAATAATACGAATAATAAGAATAATAATACGAAGAAAACGACTAATACGAAAAAGAAGAATAATAATGATAATACTAAGACTACGAATAATAATGATAATAAGAATGCGACTGAGACGAAACATAAGAATAATAAAATAATACGAATAATAATACTAAGACTAATAAGAATAAGAATACGACGAATACGAAGAAGAAGAATACGAAGCCGAATAATAATAATACTAATAAGAATAATAAGAAGAATAATAAGACGAAGAAGAAGAAGAAGAAGGAGGACAATGGGGGAGGAGGGGGAGGAGAAGGAGGAAGAGGACGAGGAGGAGGAGGAGGAGCAAAAAGAAGAGGAGGAGGAGGATAATGAGGAGGAGGAGAAGGGACGGAGGGGGGAAAGAGGCGGAGGAGCAGGGGAGGAGGGGGAGGAGGCGGAGGAGGAGGAGGAGGAGGTGGTGGAGGAGGAGGAGGGGAGGAAGAGGAGGATGGACGAAGCACGGGCTTAATGAAAGGAGGAGGAAGAGGAGGAGGAGAAAACGGAGGAGGAGCAGGGCCGGGGAAGGAGGAAGGGAAAGGAGTAGGAGTAGGAGTATGAGTACGAGTCGGAATAGGAGTAAGAGTAGGAGTGAAGGTAGAAGTCGGAGTAGGAGTAGTAGCAACAGGATGATGATGACGATGTGATGATGAGGAGGAGGAGGATGACAGGAGGAGGAGGAGGAGGAAGAGGCAGCGGAGGAGGAGGATAATGATGAGCATGACGATGATGATGAGGAGGAGGAAGAAGAGGAGGAAGAGGAACGATGGGGAGAGGAGGAGGAGAAACAAAGGAAGAAGAGGAGGATGCCAACGGAGGGGGGGTAACAAAGAGGGAGGGAGGGGGAGGGAGGAGGAGGAGG